GCTCCTTAGAAGCAAGGACGGTGAGACTTCGTCTCATCTACTTTGGACATGTTATCAGGAGGGACTAGTCCCTGGAGAAGGACATCATGCTTGGTCAAGTAGAGGGTCAGTGGAACAGAGGAAGACCCTCAACAAGATGGATTGACACAGTGGCTGCACCAACGGGCTCAAGTATAGCAACGATAGTATGTCTCAGGACCTAGCAGAGTTTCATTCTGTTGTACACAGGGTCGCTATGAGTGGGAACCAACTTGATGGCACTTAACAACCACAAAGACAACAGGTTGCTTATGAGCAGTGAGAAATATGTGGTCCCAATGAAGTGAATCCTTTAGAAAGTGCTAAAAATATAACAAGTCAGACCTTTGATTATTGCTACAATACAAATGTTGATTAAATGTACACATCAGATGTTAAGATGTCCTTCCCTAGAAATTTCATTAGGCCATATGTATCTCAAGCAAAGTTTAAGTGATATATTTTGTAAATTTTCAAAACTATTTCAAGCAATATGTCATTATGTCCTGCAATAAATATAAAATGGAGCCGAACTGCCCGAGTCTTAGAAAATATGTATTTCGTAGAATTATTTAAAAAATGAATCCTTCTAAATGGTTCACCAGTTTAAGCTATATTAGATAAATATTAGGACTTTGCCATATCCTGGAGACATGATCACATTTCAAGGAACAAAATAATATTAAAAAATATAACTTTGCCAGAGGATATAATATTGCCAAAAATCTGATTCATTTGGGAAAAATCTCCAGGTATTTGATAGCTGTTTCATTGAAAAATAAAACCTTGCAAACCTGACAGAAATATGTGAAAATTAAATTTTCTTAATTGCTTAAGTCTTAATATCTTAAATCTTAAAATAAAAAAATGTGCAAATTAAAGATAATGTGCAAAATAATGTGCCAGTTGCATAGTCCCCCTGGGGAGTGAGTGTGAGTCCAAAGGCCTCCTTACTGGTTTATTTCCTTCCTGAACTCCGTTTGCTGTACCACTTTCTTTATGCTGTTTCCAAAATAAAGAAGTCCGTCCTTTTCTTAAGAACAAAATAAAAAATATGACTGATGCCGTCTGCCTGAAGGATAACTAGAATTAGAGAAATGAGCTATTTTCCTTCATTGGATGTTGGCAGTTTTATTTGTGTTTAAAATTTGTGATTCTCTAAAGCGTGGATCAGGGCTCAGGCTCATGAAAACCTGGGGAGGAAAGAATTTCACAGGTTTACATGTGGGATCTGTAATTCTTTTGTTCAGAGGCAACGATATGAAAGAAAAATTCATGAGCAGTTAGGGGCACTGCTGACAATGTCCAAGTGTCTTGGGGATATTTAGGGTGCACCGAACAAACCCACTGCTGTCAAGTCGATTACGACTCACAGCGACCTACAGGACAGGGTAGAACTGCCCCAGAGGGTTTCCAAGGCTGTAAATCTTTACGGAAGCCAACTGCCACATTTTTCTCCTGTGGAGCTGCTGGTGGGTTTGAACCACTGATCTTTTGGTTAGTAGCCGAGCACTTAAGCACTGCACTACCATGGCTTCTTCTAGGGTGTGCTGATGATACTCCACCTGTGCTACCAGTGTGCTAACTGGTCTTAAATGCACTCAGAACCTGTTAGTGGGTGGCTGCTCTGGCTCCGGAAGGATGGATGTCATGTCTCTGAAGGGGCTCTCTGAGGGAGGTCTCTTAGAGGTGTTTGTGGGCGATACCTGTGTGAGGCTCTGGAAGTTCTCTGTAGGAGGTCTCTGTGGGAGGTCTTTATGACAGGTTTCTGTGGAGTCCATGGGTGAAATTTCTGTGAAGTCTGTGAGGTCTCTGTGGAAGTCTCTGAGATCGCTGTATGAAGTCTCTCTGTATCTGTATGGAGTCTCTGTGTGAGGTCTCTAAGTTTCCTGTGGAGGTTATCTGTGGAGATCTCTGTGAGTGGCCTGTGTGTGAGAAGTCTGTGAGGTCTCTGTATGAGGTGTTTGGTCCCTGTGAGATCTCTGCGGGAGGTCTCTAAGTAAGGTCTCTGTGGGGATCTCTGTGGGAAGTCTCTCAGTGAGGTCTCCGTGGGGATCTCTGTGTGTGGTCCATGGGAGGTCTCTGTGTGAGGTCTCTGTGTGAGGTTTCTGGTCTCTGTGGGAGGTCTGTGAGGTCTCTGGGATCTCTGTGTGTGGTATGTATGTAGTCTCTGTGGGAGGTCTCTATAGGAGGTGTCTGTGGGATCTCTGTGTGTGGTATATGTGTGGTCTCTGTGGAAGGTCTCTGGGATCTCTGTGGGAGGTCTCTGTAGGAGGTCTCTGTGGGAGGTCTCTGTGGAATGTCTGTGTGGTATGTGTGTGGTCTCTATAGGAGGTCTCTGTGAGTTCTCTGTAGGAGGTCTGTGGGATCTCTGTGTGTGGTCTCTGTGGGAAGTCTCTGTGAGTTCTCTGTAGGAGGTCTCTGGGATCTCTGTGTATGGTCTCTGTGGGAGGTCTCTGTGAGTTCTCTGTAGGAGGTCTCTGTGGGATCTCTGTGTGTGGTCTCTATGGGAGGTCTCTGGAGAGCAGTGAGCTGTCCGTGTGGATCTCACTATTGCTGGCCTCACTACACTGTGTAGAAGGATCTGGTGCCAGGAGAAAGGGAAGGATGGTTCCTTTCACGTTTCTTGCTGTTCTGTCAGCACTGTTCCATCCGTGCTCTTCTCCAGCGGGAGCAGTGGGGTTCAGCAGCAGTTGGTCCAGTGTCCAGCTTCTCCCACGGTCCCAGAACCCACCCCAGGGGTCTTGGGTACCCCCTGCAGGTCTAGTGTCCAGCTCCTCCCACACTCCCAGAACCCACACCAGGGACCTTGGGCAACTCCTGCAGGTCCGTGTCCAGCTCCTCCCACACTCCCAGAACCCACACCAGGGGCCTCATGCCCCTCCTGCAGGTCATTGTCCAGCTCCTCCCACACTCCCAGAACCCACCCCAGGGGCCTTGCGCCCCTCCTGCAGGTCAGTGCCCAGCTCCTCCCATGCTCCCAGAACTCACCCCAGGGACCTTGGGCAACTCCTGCAGGTCCAGTGTCCAGCTCCTCCCACGTTCCCAGAACCCATCCCAGGGACCTCGGGCTCCTCCTGCAGGTCCAGGCTCCATTTCTCACTGTCACACCCACCCGGGGGGCTGCCTGGGAGTCAGGGCCCAGAGGCAGCATCTTCGCTGCAGGGAGAAGTGTGTGGTACCAGCAGCCGAGCTCTAGGGCCCGTGCTCACTTCCCCTGCACCCAGGGGGCCAGCCTTGCTCCACATTGGGTGCCCTGACTGAGGCATGGAGGACAAGGCTTGGTGTCCAAGTCCAGAAAGCCCTCTGTTGCTGTCTAGGTCAGCAGCACCTCCTGCAGTAGGAATCTCCACCAGGAAGCTGGCCTTCCCCTTTAGTCCTGGGTGTGGCACAAAGCACGTCCAAGTTTTCTCTAGAGAAACTGCTCCTCATCTCCCTGTCTGGGGGCCCTGCTGCCTTCTGTGTTGGCTGGGGACTGGAGAAGAGGAACACCGGTGCTAGAAAGAGAGGGAGAACTGTATCCCCCCAATTAGATAGGGCACTTGGGCCCCCTTGTTGTGTACATCCTGTCTGATGCCAGGGGGTCTCTGGAGTGAGCAGGGACTGGCAGCCAGGTGTGACTTGCTTTGGGACCCTCAGCCCTCTACAGCCCCTCTGTCACGGGAGCATTTCTTGGAGACGTGTGTGTGTGTGTGTGTGTGTGTGTGTGTGTGTGTGTGTGT